ATGTGTGTATGAATGCGATGTTTCTACACGTCTGAGTGAAAAGATGTGGTTGTTGTGGTAGCTCAAATTATTAATTTTTAATGCAACCTAAATTGTGGCACAAAAAGACCAAATTTTTTTCTCCAAACAGTTGCAGTAAAACATGCTGCAGTAAAACAATGAAAAAAACAAACAAACAAAAACACAGGGATGCAACAAAAAGAGTTACGATGAGAGGAGGCAGCGACGAACAGTTGCCTGGAGCAACCGGTTGGGTTTCAGGAGATGAAAGGGGACCTGGTGTCTTTCGGGAAAACATTCCAGTTTTACACACTGATAGGCTCTTCTGTCCTCAACTCCTGTATATTTTTATTATGTCACCCCAAATTTCATTTCTAACAAACAACATTCAAGGATCTTTTTTTTGCAGTTTTTTGAGAAATCATGTGCATTTAAAGCAAAACTCTCAGCCTGCTCTCTATATTAACCTCTGCACAGTACTTTTGGGTGCTCTGTCTATCCTTGTCTATTTGTAGCAGCTCTTTTAAAAAGGCTAAAGTAATGAGTATCGGCTGTGTGCTGGTTAGGAGAAAATACACCTGAACCGCCACCTTGTTCAAATAAAAATCCTTTTCTGTTGGCACCAAACTACACGAGCTCTTATGCAGTGTTGAATGTAAATCTGTTTCTGTGTCTATGCATTCAGCATTGCTGTCACGTCTCACACTGTTACACCTTGTTAAGAAATGTCCAAACAGTGAAACCGGCGCATCAGCGGTACAGCAGGATACATATCAATGCAGGATGCGTTAAGGCGCAGTGTTGCTGGACATTCGAAGACATTTTGACTAAATGGATGAACAACATCAGACATCACAACATCTCTGAAACACGTAAGATTACATTTTAGCATTACTGCACAGCTCATGAAGGCTGTACAAACTTTTAATCTTTACTGCTGTTAAGCTCCAAATACACTGCAAACATATACCAACATGTTCCAAAATACAACTGAATCTTTAATTAAAGATCCCCAACTCCATAAATGAAAATGCCCTTTTCTTTTAAACTATAGATCAATCCAAGTATCGATAGTATTGATACCAACTGCCGGTATTGGTATTGGATTGATAATAGCATGACAGGATCGATAACTTGTTTCTACCCTCCAAGTTCACTTTGTTCCCTAATGAATCGTGTTAATTTTTGATTTATTTAAAGTCTGTAGCACATTTAAAACAACAGAAGCGGAAAGACCCAGTTTCAAAATACACGAAAGGCTATAAAAGGTGTGTTTTGCTGGTATGTCTGTGAAGGTTCTCAGTCATCCAGGTCATCGTAGTCAAAGGAGCTTGCAAAGAAAAGCGTCTGGACTCCTTTAAGTTGCTTGAAGACGTTTCACCTCTCATCCGAGAAGCTTCTTCAGTTCTAAGGTCAAATGGTGGAGAGTCCCAGATATAAACCTAGTGGGAGTAACCCCCCACAGAGGGACAAAAGGACCCCCTGATGATCCTCTAATCACCTGAGCCAAGATGTGAAACTGGGTGTGGGTCCCAATCAGCCAGAGTTTCGGGTGTGTTCATTGTGAAACCTGGCCCCACCTTATCATGCGAATTCCTGAGGTCAGATGGCCCAGGATGTGAGTGGGCGTTAAGGCGTCTGGGAAGGGATCTCAAAACTGGATTATAGATGGCAGAGAGTTGGTGTCATAAACCCCCGCCTCTGTTCAAAGATGGTCGCTCACAGTGGACATAGATGTCCACATAGATATCTATGTCCACACTCTCCACCATTTGACCTTAGAACTGAAGAAGCTTCTCGGATGAGAGGTGAAACGTCTTCAAGCAACTTAAAGAAGTCCAGACGCTTTTCTTTGCAAGCTCCTTTGACTGTTTTGCTGGTAATTATTCCAAAAATTAAAAATCACAGTGATTTAGTGCTTAATAAAATGTATTCAGAATTAACAAATTAATAATGATTCATCTCATAAACCATGATACGCTACTCTTCCTCACATACACTGCCTTAAAATGATCAGTATTGGTATTGGCAATATCAGCCTTGTATTTACTTAGTGTCAGATCTGTACAAAAACTTTCAGTACTACCACCTCTAGTTTGCAGGATTTTTGTTTAAAAATTCAATTCTAAACTAAAACCTCTTTGATATCACTGATGGTAAGTTCTTAATTTTGGAAAATAGCTTACAAGCTAGACGGGACATTATAAAACAGTTTTCAAAAGTAGTGATTCTCATGAAAATATCTAATCTGTAAAGTGGGTTAAGTGCCCCTTAACAGTAACTTTTACTGTCAATATTTTGCTGGTACGGAGTTAAAGCTCACAATATTATCACACTAACCAGGGAAATAAAACCCCAATTCATAATTCCTATAGAGTATGCCCTGCATGGCTTAACTGCTTTTCCTCAGGGCTGTGCCAGGCGAGGCTTGTAGTAAATGAAGCAGGATCACAGTTTTCATATCTGCGCTTTACATAAAGGTCAGGATTAAGTTTAAAGTCTTCTGTGCTCAATCCAAGTGCCTTGAAGAAAACTACCTTATAAAAGTTAAGTGGTGTGCGTCGGAGCGCCAGTCGAAGCGAGTTCATCTTCCTATCATCATTTTTAAATACATTCAGGCTTACAAGCATGATTTTCAAGAACATTTTCTTCATTAGGTTAAAAATCATGCATTGTTTGGTTAATAACACTACAGCTTGGGCTTCTTTTGTAATATATTTTTTTATTGTAAATTCAATATATGCTCCTGATGTTGTAAACCTGAGTGAGTAAGCTGCAAAATCATACCATAACTAAAATGCAGTGTGAACATTATGGAGTGTGACAACATTGATATTTAATAATGATGATATCATGGGAATGATACACATATCCACATACAGGGAGTGCAGAATTATTAGGCAAATGAGTATTTTGTCCACATCATCCTCTTCATGCATGTTGTCTTACTCCAAGCTGTATAGGCTCGAAAGCCTACTACCAATTAAGCATATTAGGTGATGTGCATCTCTGTAATGAGAAGGGGTGTGGTCTAATGACATCAACACCCTATATCAGGTGTGCATAATTATTAGGCAACGTCCTTTCCTTTGGCAAAATGGGTCAAAAGAAGGACTTGACAGGCTCAGAAAAGTCAAAAATAGTGAGATATCTTGCAGAGGGATGCAGCAGTCTCAAAATTGCAAAGCTTCTGAAGCGTGATCATCGAACAATCAAGCGTTTCATTCAAAATAGTCAACAGGGTCGCAAGAAGCGTGTGGAAAAACCAAGGCGCAAAATAACTGCCCATGAACTGAGAAAAGTCAAGCGTGCAGCTGCCAAGATGCCACTTGCCACCAGTTTGGCCATATTTCAGAGCTGCAACATCACTGGAGTGCCCAAAAGCACAAGGTGTGCAATACTCAGAGACATGGCCAAGGTAAGAAAGGCTGAAAGACGACCACCACTGAACAAGACACACAAGCTGAAACGTCAAGACTGGGCCAAGAAATATCTCAAGACTGGTTTTTCTAAGGTTTTATGGACTGATGAAATGAGAGTGAGTCTTGATGGGCCAGATGGATGGGCCCGTGGCTGGATTGGTAAAGGGCAGAGAGCTCCAGTCCGACTCAGACGCCAGCAAGGTGGAGGTGGAGTACTGGTTTGGGCTGGTATCATCAAAGATGAGCTTGTGGGGCCTTTTCGGGTTGAGGATGGAGTCAAGCTCAACTCCCAGTCCTACTGCCAGTTTCTGGAAGACACCTTCTTCAAGCAGTGGTACAGGAAGAAGTCTGCATCCTTCAAGAAAAACAAGATTTTCATGCAGGACAATGCTCCATCACACGCGTCCAAGTACTCCACAGCGTGGCTGGCAAGAAAGGGTATAAAAGAAGAAAAACTAATGACATGGCCTCCTTGTTCACCTGATCTGAACCCCATTGAGAACCTGTGGTCCATCATCAAATGTGAGATTTACAAGGAGGGAAAACAGTACACCTCTCTGAACAGTGTCTGGGAGGCTGTGGTTGCTGCTGCACGCAATGTTGATGGTGAACAGATCAAAACACTGACAGAATCCATGGCAGGCTTTTGAGTGTCCTTGCAAAGAAAGGTGGCTATATTGGTCGCTGATTTGTTTTTGTTTTGTTTTTGAATGTCAGAAATGTATATTTGTGAATGTGGAGATGTTATATTGGTTTCACTGGTAAAAATAAATAATTGAAATGGGTATATATTTGTTTTTTGTTAAGTTGCCTAATAATTATGCACAGTAATAGTCACCTGCACACACAGATATCTCCCTAAAATAGCTAAAACTAAAAACAAACTAAAAACTACTTCCAAAAACATTCAGCTTTGATATTAATGAGTTTTTTGGGTTCATTGAGAACATGGTTGTTGTTCAATAATAAAATTATTCCTCAAAAATACAACTTGCCTAATAATTCTGCACTCCCTGTATTTAAAAGATGGACATAGCTTTGATATTAAAAAATTAAGCCACTGGTAAACTATGTATAAAAAAATTGGTCCACATTAATGCTAAAAAGAATGATAAAATGCATTTAGTGTGGGCCTTCCTTGTGACTAACAAGTCATTACCCTATGAGATGGTGGTTAAAATACTCAGTCCATATTTGATATGGATCTAAACTAACCAACGACTGGTGTCATGGTGTCTACACTCATCTTTTACATCCAGTGGCCAGTACCCCAGTGTGTGGATACGATTGCTCCACAGAGGTGACCTGTCGAGGGTGTACGCGGTCCAGTAACAGCTGAGAACTGGATAAGCAGTTAAGAAACTTGATTGACAGATGATTGTGGATGTGAGTGAGACGTTCACACTTTACAGAAGCTAGCTTTCCTCATTTGCCAGTTTTCTCTAACCCCATTTGGCAGAAAAGATTACGTTTTATACGTTTTATAAGTATACTGTGTGTTATTTTTGTCATGATAACCGTGTAATTAAAAACAGATATTGTGGTAGCCTGAGAGTATACATAAATAATGCCACTTACTTGAATAAATGGAAAAAGGAGGCCCACGGCAAAGTTAGATAGCCAGTTTACTGTGCCAGCGATCATGAAGGCAGCAGGTCGATAAGACTGTTCAAACAGTTCCCCGGTCAGGATAAAGGGGATGCCACCTGACAGAGAAAAAGACAGATGCTTAATGATTTATTGATTGATTAATTTTATTTTTTTTATTAAAAATTCTCCAATCTGCTCTATATTTGTTACAATTGACAAAAAAAAAATGTGCCAGGTGACTTTAAGTTAGATATTAATAATCCCTCTAACTGTACTGCAACAGAATTTCTTAACATTGCTAAATTATTCATTTAGGGCAATGTGTTACCAGCCCCACACAGGATCTGGCTTTTACGCTTGACATATCTGTTAACTGTCGCCTAATGAAAGCCATTATTCTTACACCAACTCATAAAAAATATGTCTTGTTGTCTTGAGTAACAATAATAAGCACAATCCAAGGTTCAACCCTATCAACTGACTCATTCATCATACTCAGTTTTCTATCTTTGCTATATCTTCTAAGGTTTGTGAAAAATTTCTGTTGTCTGAGTTTTATTTATGAGTTCCACGACACGCCGATGATGTGGAAGTCTCAAAAACTCACAAAAAGTCATTTAAAAATATGATACATTTGGCTTTAAAGGGTTAAAGAGGTTTTACCTGTCATAAATCCCTGGCAACAAATCCCTTTCATCTGGCTGTGATCCAGATTACTTTAAAACAACCAGTTTCTTCCCTCCTCAGACTCCACTGCTTTAAAGAATTACAGACCCATTTCCAAACAGCCATTTATTTCAAACATCTTTGAGAAAATTGTTGCTCATCACTGCCTTCAGCTGGCTGAGGGAAACATCTTTGATTAATTCCAATCTGGTTACTGATCAAACAGCACCACTAAAACATGACCATAACCTAAAATTACTAAAAAATACAACACTAAAGATAAAGGTGACTGTTCCACTTTGGTCCTACTAGACTCATCTGCTGTCTTTGACACCACTGATCATGTCATTCTTACTAACAGATTACAGAATTAGGTTGGCATCACTGCCACAGCTCTCAAATAGTTTTCATCACAATTATCTGACAGATACTTCAGTCCTTATCCACACCTGTCTTATGTGGAGTCAGTCAAGGCTCAGTCATTGGCCCATTTCTGTTCTCTTTACTAATGTTACCCTGGTTGAGCTTCAAAGCCATTTCTTACCATTTATATGCTGATGATACACAGCTGTACTTTTTTTGTCAAGCCTAACAACCTGAACAGCCTCCCCTACATCAGGGGATGCTTCATTGTCTGTAAAAAATGGATGTCCTCAAATTTCCTCCCATTTCAATTCTGGTAAAATTGAAGTTTTTTATGATCAGTCCTGAAAACTTCTCTGTGGAGCTCACATCAAGAAAGTGCATCAGCTCACTCTGGAGTAATATCATATCATCTCCTAAGGACGTTGGTATCACAGCTCTTAAGTTAATCTTGTTTCCTTCATCACAGAAAATAAATCCTGACTGTGATTCAATAATGTGGTATTGTTAATACGCAGTTTAGTTTTCTCCAGCATTGATTACTGGAATCATTAACACAAACACCACAAGTTGTGAAATTATTTAATGGGAATCCTCTACAGTTTCTATTCCAACAATACATGCATATAGGCATGAATCCTGGCATTAAGGTCCAGACCAAACTTTTGTTGAAGTGAAATAAAAGTTGCTTCCCTGTTGTCTTATCAATAAATGACACAACAACACAGCATGCAGTTAGAATATTTTCTTAAGCACACAAAACACATGAAGATGGATTTGCAAAATTCTTTTGGCCCCTCAATTATGGATGTAAACACAGTGCCACAGTTGAAAATGGCTAAAAGAGAAAACCTTCGGGCATTCTTATACAAACCAAAGAAACAGTAAAAGGCAACCATCTCTTGGAGCGCTGAGTCTTGGGTAGATTATGTTGGCAGAGAAGCCAAGAGTACCAACAATTTGTTGCAGTGGGCGTATAGCATGTGCAGTAGATTGAAAAAAAGCATGATTAAGGGCGCATGCAGCATGTTTTGCTTGAATGTAAATGACTGAAAACAAAATGCCTTTCAACATTGCTGTGCATGGTCAAGTGATGGAAGAGAGTCACACGCAGGGTCATTGTTTATTTTCACAATGTAGACACTATTATTATAAGTTATGCCTAATTTGGAATCAGCTCCAGCCTGCAGAATACTGATGTGAGGGTATAGATGGTGTTCTGTGTAAACCAAAGCATGCTGTCGATTGGTGTTCGCAGGCAGCTTCGAACGTGGCTCCCTATAACCTCACACATCTCACAGTTTCTCCCACACTGATTCTAAACAAAGACATGCACACATGGATGAGTTTATACCTGCATTGTTACTTGTCTGGTATGATTTAAGATATCACTGCTATTGCCTTGTGCATTGTAAATGTGGTTGAAATATCCAACAAAAACATCGGCTAAGATAAAAATCTTTCAGACCAGTGGCTTTTGCATTTAATCCTCACAGCAGGTTTTTTGTTGTCACATAATTGCTTCTGAGGCGACAGTTAATGAGCTACAAGCCACATGAGCATTTTCGGCGTGTGGTGAATAAAGGGAGGAATGGCTTCCATTAGCCCTTAGCATCCTCTTACATTTAATTGCTTGTAGTAATAAACTATCCCATTGATGGAAAAAGATGCTTTTTAACAAATGTGACCAGCTGATTAAAAGTGATTGCATGTGTTCATGCAAGAACAGAGCTGACCTACCTACCTACCACAGGGATAAAGGACTGGCTCTGTGTGAGCACATTACAGCCTCAGATTCTTGAACAAAACAAAACAAACAGCAGCAGCAGGTAGAGAAGATAATCAGCTTCACATCAGGTGCGTTATTTGAAAAATTCACTTACCGGTACTGTGATAGTTTTCTTTATAATGCTAACACAGAAAACCAGTTATTTATAAAGCCTTACTCTGATTGAGAAATGATCTTTTCCTCTTCCCAAAGTCTAAACTTGACACCAAGCAGTTTTAATGTC